CCTTTAGGCTTCTAGTTTTCGTCAGCTGGCGATAATTCAAGCTAGGGGTCTCCAAATTAAATTTCGGGCATACATCCAAGTCCCAAATCACGATACAGACCTACCGGAACTGTCAAAATACTAATCCGAGTCTATTTGCTCAAAATGTTGACCAAAGTCAACTCAATTGAGTTTTAAGGCTATATTTCATATTTTAATCAATTTTCTTGATATAAAAACTTTTCGGAAAATTATACGGACTGCGCACGTAAGTCGAGGAATAATTAATAGTACTTTTCGAGGTCTTAGATCGCAAAAATAATTATTAAATTTAAAGATGACCTTTTAGGTCATCACACAAAATCTCGCTCAAATCCCCAAAATTCGGCGTAAGAAGTTTTCTCCATATTTTCCCAAATTTTCAACCTGTATCACTAATTAAATGATGCAATTAAAGATATAATCATGGAATTTAAGAAAAACTTAGCCAGAATCACTTTCCCTAATCACTCCCTTCAAAATCTCTCCAAGAATCGCCTCAATCCAAGCTCTAAAAATTAAATTTGTGTAATAAACTCAAAACCACGTTTTTGAGATTTAATATTCTGCCCAGATATCCATTAATCGCGATCGCGGAAAATGCTTCACGATCGCGAAGCACAAACTCAGTTGCCCAAGAATTAACCTTACGCAACGCGACAATCTCCAAGTGAATGTGAATCACTACCTCCTAAGACAAATGCGATCGCAGACACAGCTACGCGATCGCAGACACAGCCACGCGATCGCGCACAACACCCACGCGGAACCCAGGTGCCTCACTTCCTCTTCGCGAACACGGCCTAGTCCATGTGTTCGCGATTCACTGCTTCACTAACCTACGTGACCGCAACCCTCAACTCGCGAATGCGGTGAGTAAAAATCCAGCTGCCCCAAACAAGCCTTCGCGATCGCGGACCTCTCTACACGATCGTATGGAAGGAAACCAAATCTGAACACCAGCTAACTTCAGCAGTCTTCCAAGCCCCAATTTTACTCTGTTAACCATCCGAAATCCACCCGAGGCCGCCGGACCTCAGCCAAACATACCAACAAGTCCTAAAACATTATACGAACTCGCTCAAAGAGTCAAATCACATCAAACAACTCTAAAATCATGAATCGCACATCGATTCAAACCTAATGAACTTATGAACTTCTAACTTCTACATTCGATGCTGAGACCTATCAAATCAAGTCCGATTGACGTCAAATTTTGCACACAAGTCATAAATGATACAACTGACCTATTCCAACTTCCGGAACCAAAATTTGAGCCCGGTAACCACAAAGTCAACTCTCATCAAAGTTCTCAATTTCCAAACCTTCTAATTATCCAACTTTCGTCATTTCAAGCCTAAATCAACTACGGACCTTCAAATCACTATCCGGACACACTCATAAGTCCAAAATCACCCAACAGAGCTATCTGAACTATCAAAACTCCATTCCGGAGCCATTTACATGTAAGTCAACATCCGGTCAACCTTTTCAACTTAAGCTTCCAACCTTAAGACTAAGTGTCTCAACTCATTCCGAAACATCTCTGGAACCGAACCGACTACCTCGGCAAGTCACATAACAATAATTTAGCATAGAATAATAAGTAAATGGAGGAACGGAACTACAACACTTAAAACGACCGTCGGGTCGTTACAACGGTTAACTACTCGAAATGTGAGTTCAATAAATTTTATATAACAGCCAACGATTTGAGGTGTATGAGCTCATTCACATATAATAACCAGAAAAATTTCATTTTACATCAGGGCGAACCCACCTTGTAGGAAGGGGGTTCAGTTGAACCCGCTTCGGTGAAAAAATTAATTAATTTTACCTTGGAATTTCATCAAATAATCATGAACTTTGTATATATTGGTTAACTGAACTCTCTTGACACATAATGAAGCGGCGGAGCATTGGCAAGCGGGTTCAATGTAAGGCTTGAGGTTAAAAGTTCGAATCTATGCATAAGGCGGTACTAGGGTCGTTTGGCAATCCATATTATTCTGCTTATTGTTGTTGTTTCCTGTTTTGTCTTTATTTTCCTACTTCTCTTTGTGATTTTTTTTCTTTATTTAAATACAATAAAAGCTATTCTTATTAAACTCCTCCATTTCACTTCAAAAAAAGTTAATCCTTTCAACAAAGTGAATTTTGGTTCTTTTCTTCATAATTTTTGCTAAAGAAAAAGAGATTATCGAAATTACTTGTAACCTTTTAATTTAACTTAGTTTATATTGACATTGTTAATTTGTGTTATGCTAAAAAAAATAGTTTGGTCTAAATTATCTTTTTCTTTAATAACTTTTATAAATTAGTTTAGTTTATCACTCTTTTTCCCCGTTTTTATTTTTGTAAGAACTTTGTAATTAAATTTCTTAGAGTTATAGTACGATTTTTTAAAGCTGGTTAAATACTTTTTTGTTAAAAAAAATGCTAAATTTGCTATAAAATATTTGTTAATTTATATAGATAAATTTTAAAAAAATTAAAGGACCAATTTCTTTTGTTATTTTTTCAAAAAATTCCCCGACCCTTTTTCTTAAATAAATGACTTCATTTTCTGACGAACTTAAAAAGAATAGTGTATAATTTTTATTTACCGATGTGCTTATACAATCGATTATCCTGATTTTTGACTGAACTCACTTGCATAAAATCCTAGGTCTGCCATTGATTTAAAATATTGCATCCCGGTGCCACTACTGAACGGATAGCCAAGACGGAACATATTCATCATCTGTCAGAAAATCTGTCGAAAATTAATTAAAATAACACGCACGTATCCTTTGGAAACGAAAATGCAGTTAACTCGTTTTGGAGTATACATATATAACCAATTAAAAATATTTGATCATCGGTAATTCTAAAAGCTAAGGATTGTTCCTCAACGACGTTCTTCTACCTTTGAAGATAGCAAGGACCAGTCGTACTTGAAGGCATTTGCATAAGCCTGTTCATTTGCTAAGTTCTCCCTATAAATACAACTCTAAGATTTCAGCCGACACTACGTTTTTGGCCATCCGTAAAATACCGGGAAAAAAATCCTTCAATCTCATCTCATTTAACCAAAGTTTTGAACCATCAAAAGCCATCAACTCTGTCTTTTTACCCAGTTTATCTATAAGTCCTACTACACAAAACAAAACCGAATATGTCTATTATTTTTCTCAAAAAACTAGTTTAATCGTTATCAATCTCTGTCCGATTCAATTTCGTTAAAAGAGGAATAGATTCCGAAGCCTCAAGAGCTTCAAGTTCACTGCTTCAATAAAGGTTAGATTTAAATTCTGCTACTCTGTATTTCTTACCTTCAGCAACATATTAGAAATCGTGATTTAGAGTTCATTGTGTGTAGAAATTATGTCTTTAAGGGAATTACTTTCTGGCCGTATGGCATTTGCATTATGACGGATAATGTTAAAATGCTAGCTGTTTTGTTAAAAATACTATGTGTTTTATCATTTATAAATGTTGTAGAAGTTTTATCTTGTGTTTTGTTTTTTAGTTCTTATGCAGTAGAGATTCATGCCTTAAATTCTGCCAGAATCATGATTACAGGAATCTAGCGCCTTTTATAAGTTGAATTTTTATTTTTTTATATTAATTCCACAGCTTAACTGGGAGTGTTGTATTAACTTAAAATGATAGAGTGGAATGTGGCCTTACCTCCAAAGATTACAACACAAGGACAAAGGATGTCCTTAAAAAAAAACAAGAGAATTATAATAATGTTACTCTCCTGTTCGACAAAAACTACTAAGCATGCTTAACTAACAAAAAAGTTCGCCTTATCATATTTTATTCTAATGGTAGACATTTGCAATCTGTCCAAGATGAAAAGTCCTTTGCCACCACTAGGAAGCTCTTGAAAAGAGAGAAAAATCTTGTTTACAGAGGTGGACAAGGCAAGCTTAGCGCGTTGATCGGTCACTTAGTTTGTCTCCCTGAAGTAGTGGATAGGGGTAACATTGGCTTGGTTCATGATATGTGAAGTATCCTCAATAACTTTCTTCAGTTTGCAGTTATTGGTTTTCCCATCCTTGAGCATATTCATTACCAACCTAGAGTCGAGTTCGATGGTGAAGTTAGAGTAACCATTTGTGGTACAACAGTTGATCCCAAAGAAGGCCGCTTGTGCTTCAACACCATTATGACTGCTGCACTTTGCAGTGGCAGAAAAAACCATAATGAAATCGCCTTGATCATTCATTAAAACTCCACGTAGGCCTGCAGTGTCATTTCATTCCAAAATACTTCCATTTGTATTGAGTTTAAAGGAGTTGCAATCAGGCTTTTCCCAGCACACAATGATAGCCTCTGGAATAGGTTGTAATTTCATCATCTTCTCACATAAATTGACCCAAGGCAATGTTAGTTTACAATTAGGAAATGATCTGTGGATAGCGGCTTGAACATACTTGATGTCTCAGTTTGAAGAAGTTGAATCTTTTTTTATCTTAATATTTTTACAAGAACACATGTTTTTCCAAATTTCCAAGCTTGCAATTATGGGAGTGATCCGGAGAACTTGCTTGTGAATAGCATTGTTGTGTTTCTGTTTCCACCATTGATTTAACAATCCTCTTATAGGAAGTTGCATTGGTTTGATTCCCGGAGGGAAGCCAATAAATTTCCAAATGTACTTAACTGCATCACTTTCCACAAAAACATATTGAATAGATTCTTGTTGAGGGTTAGTGCAACAAATACATTTTGAAATATTTTGCTTACCAAATTTAAGAATAGCATCATTAAAAGACAACTTAGATAGCCAAAGTCTCCAAGTTAAGAATGAGAATTTAAAGGGAATACTAGAATGCTATACCTTGCTAAGGAAATGATCTTTATTTTTTGTGTTCAATATAGAAACATAATGTAGTTTTGTTGGAAAACTTACCATTATCGGAGAGATCCCATATATCTTGATCAATTATATCTTGTTTTCTAATATGAATATTCATAACGTGTTGAACCAGATCATCAGATCATCTGGCAACAATTCCTTGAGCTTGTTGGTGTTTCAGATTCCATCTTGGATGAATTCTTTGACAGTAGTTTTGTGGCTGCTATGACCAAGTATATGTGAGGATAATACACCCTTACCAGTCCAGTTATCCCACAACATATTAGAATTCCCAGAATTAATCTGCCAAATAACGTGAGGCTCTGCTTTGTCTCTGACTTGTATCATCGTTTGCCAAACATGTGAGTCATCAGAGGCCCTTTTCTTACATGCCGAATGAGATCTTAGGCAATATTTATGCCTCGTGAAGGTAGTCCAGATAGATGGAATAGTTTTAAATCTCCACCACCTCCTAGTTATAAGAGTTAAAAGTTAAAGAAGGAGGGCGGGGTGAATTATAATTTTTCTTTTCGTTTTCGAGGTAGTCGACTAACTTGCGTTCTAGTAGACTGGACTTTTGATATGAGATGTAAACTGAATACAGGAAAATCAACTGCAGAAAACAAATGACATAAAATATTTTATACTAGTTCGAATTCAGAATGAATCCTACGTCCAGTCCCTTTGGGTTGCAAGGGTATTCTCTTTCAAAGATGTAGTAGCTTAGTACAATTGGGTTGATGTTGTTATTCACCAACAGCTTTGTCACTTTGTTCTTTTTCTCTATGCTTGATACAATGTCTCACCAGTATTTTTTTCTCTCTTTTTTCTCTTCCTAGTTATATAATAAATCTATAATAGACTACAATGCTTATTTAAAGTAGATTAAAGAGATTGATATTGGTTCGATCAAAGTATGTCCTTTCTTTGCATCTTGTGTAGAATATATAAAGAGTTGGTCTCCATTATTCACGGCGTGGTAGTGTAATGGCTGAAAGGCAACCCAAGGGAGTTGATTCTCAAAATCAATCAGGATGATTTTCTTCCAAGAATAGAATGGGCCTTCTTTTCGTTGCTTCCTTGATTTCCTTTTCCTTTCAAGCCATTGAGATGAATATTCTCTGTTATGTGTGATAGACAATTCTCTGTAGATATTTTATAGAGATTGATTGATCTTATGGACTGATTGATTGATGCCTTTCATAAATAGCTGAATCGAATATTTGTTTTTCCATAAAGCTCACAGTCACAACAAATATACTTTGTGATTCTTGCCTTTGGATCTTGACTCACACATTTGACTCATTGATTATTGCTTTCAGATCTTCTGCTAGAATCTTTTCCATTTCTTGTGACATCCTTCTTTGGGATTGGTTTCCTGCAATTAGAATTAAGTTATTATCTATCATTGAAACATATATCTAACAATATTCCACTTTTTGATGATGACAAAAAACTTAATTAAATTTGTTGTCCTGTTTATAGACGTATGCTCTAGTCGGCTCCCCATCAACGTATTGTCAGGTACATTGAGTGTTTGGAGTTGACTCCCCCTCATTCAGATGCTCTCCCTTATTCAGATGTCCAGTAGAAATAGTTGACTTTAATCAGTCAACTAAACTACATCTTGCAAGTTAGTATTCTATTCAACTTTTGTTCAATCAATCGACTGAACCACATTCTGCAAGTTAGTATTCTATTTTTCCCCTTTTGGCATCAATCAAAAAGAGAGCTAAGTAGGTTTAACTACTAGAAGATAAGATTAGCAGATAGTACGCTTAATTACAATCATCCACAGAGTATCCAAAAAAAATATGCAAAAGAAAATTATCCAGAGAGACCAAAAGAAATTATCTAAACAGCCAACCCAGATTAACGACGGAGGAAATAGGTAAGGGTGTTGCAGATAGCTTCTTTGAGGGGATCAAAACTAGCGTTCATTGTGACTAAGATTCCATCCACATGATCATGAACTTCTTTGAACGCTTTGACTTCCTTTTCTGCTGTTTTCAGCACCGTGACTCTTAACTTGGACATGTCAGATCCTGTTTTCTTTGTAACTGCATAGACTTCTCCAACTGAGGTTTGGGCGGCCAGAAGTAACTCTTTGATGGTAGTCAGGTTGTCATCAAGTGCAACTATATTTTCAAGCAACTCTGGATTGTAGACAGCTGTTTGAGAGGTATCAACCTTTACCTTGGAACTAGAGGGAATCACTTTGGCTTCAACTTCCTGCTTCTTTATCCAAGTACCACCTATAACAACATATCCCATACTGACAAATGCCCTATTATTATAACACTTGGAAACATATATGTTAGGATAGTTTGAGAGTCATTGAAATACTCGAGGAGGTGAGTGATGACCATCCCGTAGGGTAAACTCGAAGGATTTTCATCACATTCAATCATACCTAGGAGGACGATTTCACCTTGTGCTTGGTGAGAAGACAGTAGACCAAAAAGGTTTCCCTTTAAGATAGTGGGGTATAGGAACCTGTTATGGTAAGAATGGCGGTGGCAACAATGTGGGCAAGAATACGGGTTTCAAAATTGATGTCACTGGGTCCTAATTGGTTTGGCAGAGGATCAGATAGGGAATCAACAAGACATTGTTTGGCTTGTTCAAATGACTCTTCAAAATCATCAGGCCAACAGTTTTTAAACAGGGCAAAGTAACCAGAACTTTTACACTTAAATAGGGAATCAAAAGTAGAACAGTCTAGAATAATATGCTGACCTAGCATGACTGACTCAATTTTGTCAGATTTCTGGGAACGGATATTTGCATAGAATATGAGGACCAAATCTTCATATACCTTTGGAGGGGTTAGGGCAAAGAAATTTTCCCATCCGAAAAATGGAGGCGCATAATAAATGTTACAGGAAATAATAATGAAGTAACACAGTACAAAAGATTTTTACCAAAATTATTTAGACACACAATCTTTGAGAAGTACTAAAAGTTCTATGCCTTATTTTGAACCCCGTCCTTTAGAAGAGGGTTAAGTAAAAATATCATCTAATTGGTTTTCTGTGTTAACATACGATAATTCAACGCCACCCTTAAGAACATGGTCTCTAATGAAATGATGCTTGATATCTATATTCTTTGTTCTAGAATGATGCACAAAGTTTTTTGAAAGACAGCTAGCACTACAATTATCACAGAAAATTTTAACAGGCTTAAACGAAATATCATAATCACTTAGCTAATGAGTCATCCAAAGTAGTTGAGCATAACATTATCCAATAGCAATATATTCAGCTTCAGTTGTAGTTAGTGCAACTGATCCCTGTTTCTTACTGTTCCAGGAAATAAGCGATTTACCATGTAGTTGAGGTTCCACTTTCCTGTCATCTTTATCACCTGTAAGATCTGCGTCTGAAAAACCTTCAAGCTTAAAATTATTAAGGAGTGGATACCATAATCCATGTGATGTGGTTCCAATAAGATATCTAATAATTTGTTTCATAGTTGTTAAATGTGATTCCTTGGGAGCTTCTTAAAACTAGGCACATCTTCATATACTAAACATTATGTCAGGACGACTAGTAGTTAAATAAAGTAGAGATCCAATCACTCCACGATATTCTTATTCATTTACTGGTTTCCCTTCATCTTTATCAAGAGATGTAGCTGGACTCATGGGAGTCCCAATTGCCTTGGCATTGCTCATTCTGAATTGTTGTATTAGCTCCTTCGTGTACTTTGTCTGACATATAAAGATTTCTTCATCTGATTGATGAATTTGAAGTCAAAGGAAGAAAGTCAATTCTTCCATCATGCTCATTTCAAACTCACTTTTCATGAGATGTTAGTATCCCTTGCATAAAACAGGGTTAGCTCTTCCAAATATAATATCATCCACAAAGATTTGAATAATGAGATTTCCTAAAGACGACCTCTTGATGAAGAGGGTAGTATCAATCTTACCTCTTGAGAATCCATGACTGACCAAAAATGAGCTTAGTCTTTCATACCAAGCTCTAGGTGCTTGTTTTAGCCCATAAAGAGCCTTAGTCAACTTAAACACATGATAAGAAAATTGTGAGTTTTCAAAACCAGGAGGTTATTTAATATAAACCTCCTCATCAATAAAGCCTTTAAAAATGCACTTTTAACATCCATTTGAAATAATCTAAAACTTTTAAAATAGGCATATGCTAGTAAGATACGAATTGATTCTAACCGTGCTCCCGGAGCAAATATTTCATCATAGTCGACTCCTTCCTGTTGAGAGTAACCCAAAGCGACAGCCTTTCTTTGTTCCGGATAACTTTGCCTTCTTCATTCAGTTTCTTTCTGAATACCCACTTAGTCCCTATGATTGTTGCATTTCCTGGTTTGGGCACTAATGTCCAAACTTGATTTTTGTCAAACTGATCAAATTCTTCTTGCATAGCCTGCACCCAACTTGAGTCTTTCAGAGCTTTATCAACTTTCTTTGGCTCTATTTGGGATATGAGTGCGATGTTAGTCTTTTTCTTTAGAGCCCCTCTTGTTTTCATTCCATCAGTTGGATTTCCAATGATAAACTTCTTAGGATATTCTGGTTTGCTTCTCCATTAGTTTGGTACTACTTCAGTACGTTGATTAGTCGACTCATTCTAAGGTTGATCATGCTCACTGATGTCTTCATTAGTCGACTGTTGGATTTCAGTTGTACTGTCAGCAAATTCTTTTGAAGTCTTTTGTTCACTGATCTTTGGTTGATTTTGAATGATCTCTTCATCACCTGCAAAATCTCTTTTCTCGACCATAGAATTATTATCATTAAAAATAACATGGACTAATTCTTCTACGCATAAGGTACACTTATTATAGATTCTAAAAGATCTACTATTATTCGAGTAACCGAGAAATATACCTTCATCACTTCTTGGGTCAAACATACCAAGATTATCCTTGCCATTATTATGGACAAAGCATTTGCTTCCAAAGGGATGAAAGTATCCAATGTTGGGTTTCTTACCATTCCATAGTTCATATGGAGTCTTCTTTAAAATAGGTCGAATTAAGCACATGTTGAGAATGTGACATGTTGTGCTAACTGCTTCTGCCCATAAGTGATTTGGTAAGAAATGTTCTAGTATCATGGTTCATTCCATATCCTGCAGAGTTATGTTTTTACATTCAACCACTGCATTTTGCTATGGTGACCTTAGTGTTGAGAAATTATGAGTGCATTCCTGATCGTTGCAGAAATCTTCAAAAGCTTTACTTTTAAATTCTCCTCCATG